ACAAAAATTAAGTGTTTGGAAACATGAATAGTAAATATTTAAAATTAAGATGATTGGAAACAAGGATAGCCTACAAATCAAATCTAATGGGCTTACTTATTAAACTAAAAATTACTGCGGCCCAAAGTACCATTATTATTGTTTTTGGATTTTCTATCCTTGATATTATTTTATTTCTGAAAATTATGTATACATATATGTACTCGTGTTTTAAATATACCTGGAATAAATCAAGAATACTATATATTTTATTTATATAATTTATATTGACTATTGTTATAAGTTTTTAACAGTGATATACTAGCCTTCCAATTCTTCATTAAAAAATTAACTTAAAAATTTGACTAAATTATTTAATGTATATAACTCTGCACCAAATTTAGCCAAAAAAAAATTTATAAACTATTATTAAAATATTTACGGGTCACAACATTTTACGACGCCTCTGTTACACAATACAGTGATAAAATACAATGTTTAGACAATATACTATTACTTAGTAAAATTGGAACCATTAAATTGTAATTTTGAAATGTTATAGATACCATAAAAACAAAGACCCGTCCAGTCGGGCGGGTTATGATCTAGTATGTTGTTGTATCTAGTAATTTTTCGTGTAATATTTTAGATTAGTGATTGTTGATTGACCATATTTCGTATTTAAAAGTATGTAAAAAATCGGAGAATTACCATCTTAAAGGATGTTGTGGTAATGCTCCATGAAGCTGCATAAATAGCTGAAGATTGATTCATTTCTTCTGCCAATCTTTCTTCTTCAAAGTCAACACTAAAAGTCCATCAAACCACCGTAACCGTTCACTATTAACTTCAATAAATGTTAATACATTCTTTATCAACTTGTGAAAAGATTTCAATCTTAAATCTATGATCAACTTTTCCTATTTGCTAATTCATGTAACAGCAATTTTCAATTATTCTTACGATCGTAAGATTGATAAGATAATATGATTATGAAAATTATACTTTACCTTGTCGTCAGTCAAAAGTAGCTCAACATCAATTAGGTTCCAATTATTTTTCTAGATTTTAGACTTCCGAAACATAATCAACTTCTTCTCACATATGTTAGGAACAATTTCGTGTAAAAAACCTATATAAAGATGTAAAAGAAACTGACGATTGATTTTTGTTTTTATTATTTTGAAACCGACATCTTTGATTGTACATAGTGGAAAAGATAAGAGATAAATTTCCGATACAATTTGGGTAGTATACTTGGACCAAATAAATTTAATATATTTGTTTAAATGAACATATCTTTTAGACATTATTTGAGAAGTGATTTGACAAATGTCATTACATAATTCATTTTCACATTACATATCTTTAAAAAAAAGATGACATGATATCAATTTAATTATGCCATTTAAATTTTGTAAGATAACTTTTGACTTTTTGAAAAAAAAATTTAAATACAGTATTAGCTAACAAATTTTATACTATCACTAAGAATAAAAATTATGTATACATATTTATTTATTTTTGCAAGCCTTTTGAAATATTTTATAACTAATAAATCATATACCACTATTACAATATATATGTATATATAGCATTAATAAAAATACACTAAATATAAGTACTCTGTAAACAAATCCACATTAACTTATATATCCTATGTTTATAATTAAATATATCTATTATAATTATTTGTAAATTTTCTTTAAAATACAAAACTAAAATAATACTAATGAAATAAAAATTTGTATTAGTTAATGTTTAAATTTTTATTAGCATTTATTGGTTCATTAAGAAAACTAAATTGTTTTCACCATTTTAATGTTTTTCAACTAAAACAAAAAAATAAACAATAAAATATCAGTAAAGAAGGTGACACATGACATTTTTTTTCCAATGCCATTTTTTCCCCAAGAAGAGAAAAAAAACCAACTTTATTATTAAAGATTAGTGAGATTTTAGTCAATCGATTAAAATCTTCACTCGATAATATTATTTCTAGGATGGGTGACCTCCCGGGAAGTCCTCGTGTTGCACCCCTTTCTTATAACGCCCCGACCTCCCACGGCTAATAGACCACCCACGCCCGCTCTCTCGGCCCGTGGGCCCCATCCCGTTCCAACGGCCGGTCCGTTAATTTTCCAAAGCTCTAGAGTCATGTTTACTGACCCTGCAATCACCGCATGACCTTTCCCGTTCTTTGGCCTCACTTACACGGTATCGCAAATCACTTTCCGATAGGTCACCCATCTTTTGACTACTCCAGCTCAAGCACGCTTAACTCTGGAGTTCTCTTTGGATGCGCCCACGAAAAGGTAAGTGCACTTTGGTGACATAGGTAGCCAAATCAATCCTCTTAAGCCTTTCCATATATCACAACTCGGGATGTTACAATTCACCCCCTTTCAAAGAACGCAACGTCTTCGTTGCGCCCCCAACAGGTCTCAAGACGCCTCTCAGGTCAGAACTGAGATGGCTAACCAACTCTGATACCACTTATAACGCCCCGACCGCCCACGGCTAATGAGCCACCCACGCCTGCTCTCTCGGACCGTGGGTCCCATCCCGTTCCAACGGCCGGTCCGTTAATTTTCTAAAGCTCCAGCGTCATGTTTACTGACCCTACAATCACCGCATGACCTTTTTCGTGCTTTGGCCTCACTTACACGGTATCGCAAATCACTTTCCGATAGGTCACCCATCCTTTGACTACTACAGCTCAAGCATGCTTAACTCTAGAGTTCTCTGGTTGCGCTTCCGAAAAAGTAACTGCAATCTGATAATATAGGTAACTAAATCAATTCTCTTAACCCTTTCCATATATCACAACTCGGGATGTTACAATTCAGTTCTTATTAATGATGTCTCTTAGGGTCAGATAATCCTACAACGGTGATTAAGGCAGGTGATCATTTATCACCATATTTATATATTTTATGTGCAGACATATTGAACCATCTGATTGATGTCCAAGTACGAAAACAGAAAATAAATGGAATTAAAGTGGGAAATGAAGTTCATGTTATTACTCATTTATTTTTAGCGGACGATTATTTGTTCTTCATTATAGCAAATCAGTATCCACAGCAACACCAAATTATTCTGTCATGTTTTAAACTCTCAGTATAAATCACTAAAGAGATTGAGGGGATTTTAATGAGTTTCTGGTGGAAAAAAAGCGATAAAAAAAAGGACTACCATGGGTTGCTTGGAAAAACTACAATATACAACAACAAGAAGGAGGGATTGGTTTTCGAGATCTAGCAAAGTTTAATGATGCTTTATTGGCCAAACAAGCTTGGAGGTTATTGACAAAGCCAAATTGCTTGTTTTCACGATTATACAAAGCAAGATACTATCCAAATAACCACATATTCGAAGCAAAACCTTGTAGAAAACAATCTTATAGATGGACTTCTATCCTTTCTGGTCTTGAGTTACTAAAAAGGGGAAGCAGATGTATTGTTGGTGATGGAAAAGAAATGAAAACTTTTAAGGATAATTGGCTTCCTTCACATCCCCTAAACCTGCGGCTACTACTTTCCCTAGTGATATTCGTGTGAGTGAGTTAATAATAGATTCCCCATATAAAAAATGGAATATGAAAAAAGGTCGAAGAGGCACATTTATTTGACCCAAACATCAACGCCTAATAAATTAGTTTTGAACTATACTACAAATGGTAATTATACTCTCTCATCTGGTTACTGGCTGGCTAGACATACTCCGAAGTTTGAAGGCCAAGCTCCTACGCCTCCTTACGGTGATCCCTCCCTTAAAGCAAAAATTTGGAATCTAGATATCATGCCCAAACTTAAACATTTTCTCTGGCATCTATTATCAACCGCTATTGGTACAGCTACACGTTTAAACTCTCGTGGAATGAATGTGAATCCCCTATGCCCTCGGTGTAGCCTTGAACCGGAAACAATTCTTCACTGTTTTTCACCTGTCCCGAAACTGTGACTATTTGGAGGTTATCTCCTTTGTCTTATGTATCGGGTATACTAGCAAATACAATGGAATCAGCAGAAGACAAAATTCAAAGACTCATACATCTCCAAAATCAACCTGGCCTTTCTCTCACACGGAAGCTGCTGCCTTTTTGGTTACTATGGCGCATATAGAAATCAAGAAATTCTCTTATCTTTCGCAAAAAGAAAATTACATCACAGTGAACTATGGCTGATATGCCCTGGCAGATGTCCAAGAATGGATTTTAAGCTACAATCAACCTTCGTATAAGACCTCTACCCCCACAAACTTCGGTTCCGCTTTCACGTCCCTTGGTATGGACAAAGCCACTTGTAGGCTATGTTAAATGTAATTACGATGCAGCTTTTAATTTGCATTCAGGTGAAGTGCGCGGTGGGTGTCTTTTACGTGATAGTTGAGGTGATATTAAACTAAGGGGATTAGCTGTTCTCGGTGTAGCCACATCAAGTCTTGAAACTGAAACAAAAGCACTCCTTAAAGCAATGCAAATTATATGGACAACAGGGTACTCAAATTTAATATTTAAAGACGACTCCGAATTACTCTTTAAGTCTCTTACAAGAATCAGAGAAGACGTTTCCATCCATAATCTACTCGAAGATGTTTTTTTTACTAGAAAGGCAAAATTTCAAATTGCAAATTAACATTTGCTAAGAGATCTTCTAATAATGCCAGCACATCAATTGGCACAAAAGGACCACCTCCAAATGATGTTTTTTTATGAACTAGAGTTTACCCTCCTACTTGGTTAACAGTTAACACCTATTTTGTATTCATATACAGTGTTATCTTCTTAATATAATTCTAATTTTGTCGCTTGTACATAAAGAACTGAACCGGCCCATTTAGAACTTAACCAAACTGGGCCGAAATCGGCAACTTATTCGATTGATCGCCGGCGAGTTGAGCATTACCCTCACCGGAACTAATGGTCTGTGTAGAGTTATGAAACAAATGGAATCGAAAATTAACTAATCTCTCTATCTCCCCTTCTCATTCCCAATTCACGATTTGAAAAACAATCAATGAGTAGCAAACGCGGGAGATCGGTAACAGCCGCGATCTTCATCTTCTTCGCCTTGTCATGCTTGAATTCAATCTCAACTACTCAGGTTACAAATCTCCTTCTTGATCGATTCAATGATTTTTTTAAGATAAAAATGATTCAAATTAAATCTAATTCGATGCAATTAAATCTTACAGGTTGGAGATTCTGATGAAATGTCTGATCCCGACACGTTTTGTATCTCCGACCAATACATTATGCAGTCTTATTTCACGACACAGAGCTCCTTAAACGACTCAGAGTTTCGAAACTTCCTGCTTCTTCATCATCAATGTCCTGAGAATATTCCTTCTGAAGATGTTCCTGTTGTAGCAATGCTACAACACAGAGACATAACAGGTGAAGGTTCGCATCGTCATCTACTTACATCCATCAAGCTTCGTCCTTTTCACTCACACGAGCTTGTGATCGTTGAACGTTTGCCTTTGGGTGTTTTTGCTGACCCTTTTGAGCTTCAGAGTCTTCAGCAACGCAGTGGTTGTTATCATTATTAAAAAGCTTTTATCTTGCAATCTTTTGATGATGAATATCTCTGATGGAGTCTTTTTGAATTTCTTGCAGCTTTTAGAGACGTTTCTGTGTTTGGAGACACGGATCTCGAGCAGCCTTCGTTCAGATCAAACAGGTCTGTCGTTGAGATTCATGTCGAAATCAATGGAAGTGGGGAAATCAGCGTCAAGCTTCCTTTACATGCTCGGTATCAGGTAAGTTGTTTGTCACTTAAATCTCAAATTGAACAAGGGAAGTTTGTTATCTTGTTTTGATCATTTTTTGTTTCTCTGCTTATCTCTCCAGCCTATTGGGGAGAATGGATACTCTAGAGTGGAATTTGGAGAGCCAGATTTGTTCTTGTGTTCTAGACATGTACTGAACAAGGGGCAAGAGCAGAGAAGATGTTTGGTTTTGTCGATTGGCAGATCAAAGACCCAAACCAGATCCGTTGTATGGGAAATCCCTGCAGGAATCAGAAGTCATACAGAGTATGTTTCTGTTATTACATTTGTGGCTGCGGTTTTATCCGCATTATCAATCCTTGTTGCATCTGTCTTAAGCTCTAAGGTTGAGTCTTGCAAGATCACAAAGCAGTTATGAATCAGCTTTTGGTCTTTCTTTGTAATAGTCACGGGACTAGAGAGAAAGAAACTTGGGCATAACTGTTTTTGATTCCTCTCAAATCTCAAAAATACCATTTTGGAACATTTAAACCGGTTGCACAAGAAACAGACTTTCCACTCACGTCCAACAAATAGTTTGCACAACAAAAAACAAACACACACACACAAAAACACTGTGTTACATCAACCAATGAACCCTCAAACCGAACCAAAACAAAACCAAACTTCTAAGTTTTTGTCTGCAAATTACCCTTATATACCAAGTCGTCCCACTGATGCTTTGAACACACTCAAAACACTTGTTCTTGCTTTCCAAAATCAAGCGGCGAGTACGATGATCACGATCAGGAGTACAATGCCAAATATCACCAAGAGCAAGCATGTCTGCGTGTAAACAAGACCAAGACATTAGAATGTAGTCCCCAAGGTTCCTAAAAACCATTCATTCACTGTTATCCGAAGAGGTTTACCAGAGATGAGTTTGATCTTTGTGTTTTGGAGGCTTGTGCGAGCTGAGATTTTCCTTGTGCAGTTGCAGCTCGAGAGTTGTCAATATGAGTACCAATATCATCTGCAAATGAAAAGAAAGAAAGTGAGTTCTATAACTGAGGGCATTTTGTTAAATAGATTTCTTTACCTATCATGACTCCTTGATCATTAACCAGAACAGCAAGATCTTTGAATATTTCGTTAACCTCTCCAATTTGATTATGAATCTCTTGTATCCCTTGCTCTCTTTCTTCGATCACAGCCTCATTGAATGCAATCTCGTTGTCTAACAGTACAAGTTCCTGCCTGCAAGCCAATCAAACAAGAGGAAGATAAGTTTGCATCACAAAACTAATATAAATGTGTAGACGATTCTTATCCGTTATTACCAACCTTTTTGACTCCATAACTTGTGCCCTCTGTTCAGGGATCTTATCCACTTCACTCGCTGCATAGCTATACATCAACCAAAAACAAAAACAAAGAAACATAATTCATTACTATATCATAACACTTCTAGTTTCAAGAACAACATAAACCTGTCTTCATAATCAACTCTGATAACACCACCTAATACCAGTTAAACAAAGTTGATTGCTTCTTTTCTTCTCAACATAACACAAAAGTCACACAAACCTAGAAGGATGAGCAGAAGGAGGCAAGAGAGGAGCATAAGCAGATTCTCTTTCAGCAGCAGTCTGTTGAGCTTTCTGAAACTCTTTCAACACAGCTTGAAAGTCCTTTGCAAGCTTAGCATCTGCAATCTTCTTACTTGGCTACAAAAACATTCAACACAACACACAATCAACTCTACTATTTGGACATAAAAGAAACAAAACAGGATTATAAGTTTTTACATTGACACCACTACGATGATCAGTTTCACTAGCTTCTTTAAGTTTAGCTGACGTGTCCTTCACAAGCTGCCCTATAAGTAACCGTGTCTTGTGCCTATATAACATCCAAAATTTAACATTTCAATAACGAAAATTAAAAAAGATCGAATTTTCCAAAAAAATAAAAACAAATCGGGTCTTACAGCTTTTCACGGAGCTCCGGGGTATCTTTGGGAGTACCGAGCGTGTTAACGAGCCGTTGAAACGTGGAGACTCCGGTGTTGATCTGGAAGATACCGGAAGCAACGGCTTGGGTTGAATCTTGACGAACACCACCACCATTGATCTTCCTCGATCTTCCTTTTCCAGCTTCTAAATCTTGGAAACTCATCTTTCCCTTTTTTTGTGTGTAATTCTCTCTCTCTCTCTTTGTTTGGAGGAACTTTGAGAAGGGAAAATGATGAGGGTCAAGGCGTGAATCGTGGAGACAGATAGACAGAACTTGAAAAGCGTTTTTTTTAGGGTCTGACTGGTTGAAACGCGGCGGTTGCGATTGCGGTTGCGGGAGTTTGCGGATGTGGGTGGTTGCGGTTTCTAGCGTTATTAGGCGATTTGTACGACTGGTACAGCGATTAAAAACTGGTGCGTTTGCGGGACATTTATGACTGGTTGATTATGAGATACTACAGCGGTTCAATAATAAATTTCCAATATTAA